TTTTTTTTTCCCTCCTTGCACAACCCCAAAATACATAACTTTTTGTTTTAACATAATAAATCACGCACACTCAAGAATAAAGGATTTTTTTTTAATAAACTTTCAAAAGAACGAAAAACAAAAAAGATAAGGAAGATACACGATCAATCACTCTCAACGAAAGCACCAATAATGAAGATCGTGTATCGTGACTCGATTTTGTATAAGAACTCGCACTAACGGCTTGGTTCGAACACGATAAAATGTGTAAACTCGCACTGACGGCCTTGATTGATACATTAATAAGTGAAAAACCTGCAGTAACGGCCTCGGTTTTTCACAAAGACAATACTTAAAAACAAGCCTTTTTCTTAAAATTTATTTCATAAAACTTCCTTTTTTTAAACATACATACAAAGGTCCTATTTATAATACTACAAACATCATTCAAAATTTAAATATCTATACTTATATAAAAAGTCATCCTATTTACTAAAATTAATAGTAAGAAAAGTCAAATGTAGTTTGTTAATACCCAATTTTGGCCTCGCCTATTAAAATATTACACGTGGATATGTATTAAATCAATTGCTTTATTTATCATCTTTTTAGAGCCCAAAAATAACACCGCTTGTAATAATAACGGGCCCACAAAATATATATATATATACCCCAATGATGGACGCCAGACAGATAAGTCTGAGGGGCTATTATTACTTTTCTCTTCCTAATCCTCATATGTTTTCCTTCACAGGAAGAAATCGCACATACAGAGCTTCTTCTTCTTTTTCCATTTCGTTTTACTGATTTTATACAGAATTCACCAACCAAATTCATAGAAATCCAACATATTCTATATATACAAACAATTTCTTGAATACCCCATGTTGATACAAAATCGCATATCAACAGTTTGGCGCTAGAAGGAGGGCCCGTAATTGATTCGGAGTTATTCTTCGCTGATACAGGATCACATCTCTACCCGAAAGAAGATGATTCCAAGATAAGATTATTCATAATCCTATATTCAGTGTTCTGCTCATCAGAAATTCATACATATTCCCATATACAAGTTTATTCCCTTTCCCAGTATAAGCTTCCGTTGAAAAAAAAAAAAAAATAATATATTATGAGACTTTAGCTCTCGATATTATCGGGTCCCCGCATCAAACAATTCTGAAGACCAAACTTATCTTATTCAATATTTTCTTCCCGGGAAATTCTATGAATATATGTTCTTCAAGCTGTCCAAAGGCCGTTCTATTTTTCCTGGAAGTGAAGTCGCTTGCAGATATTTTCAAGTCCCGCAGAAGACCCTCGTAATTCATTTGAGGGAAACATAACAAAATTCTGCAAGAAAACAGAGAGTTGCAGAAGATGTGAGAAGAAAGAGACAAAGCTTGGACAAGAATTTGCCACGTCGCCTCGACGTCCTAGTCGCAACTCAGACTTTCACATAATCACGAAGAAGGCGGCGCCGACATCAATTTTCTTTGTACCAGAATTGGCCACGTCACATAGACGTCTTAGCTGCAAACAAGCCGCAAACAACTCAGTCTCATATCCGTGAAAAAGTCGGCGCCAACATAAAATTGTTTTGGGTCAGAATTGGCCACGTCATCTTGACGTCTTCGTCACAATTCCAACTTTCACTTCGTATGGGAGCAACCTTGGGAACCATCGGTGCCTTAATCATGTAATTCGGAACCGACCTCGATTTCTTCAGAAACACACAACTTTCACAACCGACCTTGAATTGTTGGGACATCATAAAGCCAAACCAAATTCACAGCTGGGTCCCCGGACCTCATAGCGGGGCCGAGTTCGCATTTTCGATCACATGACGATCCTCAGCAGCAGACGGTTTCTGAAGAAAGACCGCTGGTACCGACCCCGCGGGCTCACGCCGACCTCAACATCCCATCACTGACTTCAAAGTTGGGGCAAAGTCGGGACCAACATCGACCTCATGATTAACAACCCGACCTCGGAACTTCGGCATCCTCAACATCACAAAACCACCGAACCCGACTTACCTCGGAGCTCAATTCTGCCGACCGAGTTCGACCTCTACGTCTCCAACATCAAACTCCGACTAACCTCTGGGGCCCGATTTCACAGCAGTTGGTCTCTGAATCAGGACCCGACTTGACCACGACCGACTTCACGAACCTATATCAATCTCACTTTCATCGACCACCGAACCGGCATGCTCACCTCCAATTTTAGTCATCGGGGTTTACTTCGCCATCTCCAATCTTCAAAATCGAGATGCTCAATTCGGTCCAAAATCTCCAAACAACCGACCGCAACTCGGGATCAGACAACCGACGTCACGAGCAAACACCGACCTCGGTCCGGGTCACAGACCGACGTCACGAGCTGTCGATACCGACTTCACCACTGACGACCAGAACTGACTTCACAGTAGCTAAAATTGAATTTCTGACCGAACAAACCCGCCGTCGAATTTTTGAAATTGCAGTCAGACCC